CCCCCCCCCCCCCCCCCCCCCCCCCCCCCAACCTTCGTCCGGCCACACCCGATCTGCAATCGCTACTGCTAACGCCGGCAACAACTACTGTAACTGAGCTGTTATGGCCACATCCGATGGCTTCCTTGTACCCCTAAGAGTGCACGAATGGGGCCGGTCCTGTAGACATCGGAGATCCGCTAAATTATCTGATTGCTTCTTTGTTGCCTGGTCTATCGATTCTTCCACCCGACAAAACTCATCGTCCCATCTCGATCGCTTTTTTTTTTTTTTTTTCGGTTAGGGTCTGTTAGGTGCACTCAGAACTTGATACGGACCTACGGAGATCTAGGGGGTTTCGTGTATCATGTGTTGGGGTGTAACTTTTGTGATAGGTGTATCCCTGGATGTGGCAAACACTGTGTAGTAACAGTGTGCAGAGGCTCACAGAGTGAGTGTAAAAGTACACTTGTGCGTAGACCAGAAAGATGGTTTGAATTGGCGCTTAGTTGGCCGCAAGGTAAGAAATGGAGAGTGGAGGAAACGAGGAGAGGAGTGATGGAGAGGGCGCGAGCGCCGCGGGGGCGAGCCTCCAAGCTATCACGGAAAGATGCACACGCACGGGCTATTGCAACGTACCGGTCACGGTAACAGGCGGTGAATCCGACCTTTGGCAACAATATAAGAATATCCTACTGGACAATGGTCCGATGTACCATACTCCTATAGGTTCAATGTATAACACGAAGGTGTGTACACTGATCCGATTGCTGAATCAACATACCGAAGACTATTCCGGTACTACTCCTAGGGTGAATACCCACGTACTGTTGTTTACAGCAGTACAAGTACTAATGACTGACATTGAGTATTCCAACATCATGTTGGTGTGTGTTTGTAGGAGGGCGATCCCCCTTGCTTCTACCTTGCACGGGCAAGCAAGCAAATGTCCTGTGCGGTCGTTAACCTCGTTGAATGCTCGAGGTCTTGAGTCAATCTTTACTCTGCAGCCTCTGACGCAAAGCACCCGCTACATTCCCAACAAGATAATCAGTACCTCGTGTGCCGTACATTGCGTAAGACACCACCCCCCCCCCTGGGCCGATATTGTTGTGTGCAGCGGAGGCCCCGGTTTAACGACCCCAAGTGTCAAGACGAAATGTGGCCGGTATTCAGGGCAGGTCGCTAAACCGAACTATCAATGACATTCCAGTTGTATACTACCGGGGTGCGACGGTGCGACGTGATTTTGTGGTCGCTAAACAGGGCATGTCGCTAAATAGGGGGCCGCTAACCCGAGACCCCCACTCTACCGCACGTTGCGTAAAACAACACACCCCCTGGACCGCTATCGCTGTGTACCGCAGGTCGCATACGATAGCACGCACGTCGTGTGGAAGATAACACCCCCCCCTTGACCGACTTCGTTGTGTCGTTGTTTCGTGTCGTAGATCGACGATGATGGCGACGACAGTAGCGACGCTTTCGAGGACGACTTCTTCGCGTCCAAGAGGCGCAAGGGCGGACTAGGCGGCGGGAAAGGAAAGGGACACAAGAAGACGAGGGAAACACTCAAGTACGTCTTGTCGTCGTCGTTATTGTTACCGCTGCTGCTGCTGCTGCTGCTGCTGTTGCTGTTGTTGTTGTTTGTCGTCATCATTGTTGCCGTTGCTACAGTTGTTACTTGCTGCTGCTGTTGGTTGTGGGTATATCTATCTCTGCCGTTTTCGTTGCTGCTGCTGCTGCTGCTGCTGTTGTATTGCTGTGTTTGTCGTTGTGGGTATGGTTAGTGTTGTCGTTATCGCTATTGCCCTCTTGTCGTTTGTGAACGCAGAGGCTACACTATCGTATGCGGTGATACTGGCACATGAACCTGGTCAAGGCCGTGCTGATCCCAACGCGTGAAGATCGGCCCAGCACACCAATCCGCACGAAAAAAAAACCGAAACAATCCGTAGCGAGCGTTTTTCTTCAACAAGAATCGCCCGTAGAGAGACAAGAGCCCGTAACGTCCAACACTAACGACCATCCCAACCGTGCGAGAAGCCTCTTTTTGACTCAAATCCTGCGGCCAAAGCCGATAGCAGCGCCATGGTACACACCTAGAAGCATTTCTTGAACCCATGGTCCTCGTATTGATCGCGTTCCCTTTCATGTTTCGTTTCGTCACCGGGGGGGGGGGGGGGGG